CATCCAGTAATACAATGGCATACCAAGATAGTTAGGCTATTATAAATCAGCTATGTTTGTCAATCATACAGATCCTCATTCTTAAAAAATAAAGGTTCTTTATTGACATTTAAGGTTCACTGAAGAACCTTTAACATCCATTAAACTTTTCTATTACACCAAAGATTCTTTATAGTTGGGGGAAAAAGTTGTTCTTTTGTTGTAAAATGTATTTTTCAAATTATTTTACAAACTATTCAGCTCTTTAAAGTACCAAAAATGATTCTTCTATGGCAAAAAAAAATGGAACCTTTATTTTTCAGAATGCATTCAAACTTGTCAATTTATCTCATAATTGTGACTTTCTCAACAAATTTATTTTATATCTCACAATTGCAACTTTTTGATTTTATGGTAACACTTTACAACAATGCATTAGCTAACATGAGCTAACTTGTTCATTTTAGTTTGCAGAGCATTAACTAATGTTAAGAGTAGCACATTTAATTTAAAAAAATGTATTATTAATTGTTGAAATTAATATTAAGGGGATAGTTCACCCTCTGAAACCAACCAAACCAAACAAAAGAAGCTATTTTCAAGAATGTTGTTAACCAAACAGTTGACGGTAGCCATTGACTTCCATAGTATTTTTTATTTAAAAAAATGTCTATAGTATGGAAGTCAGTGGCTATACTGTCAACTGTTTGTTTACATAAATTCTTCAAAATATCTTCTTTTGTGTTTAACAGCTGTAAGAAATGTATACAGGTTTAGAACAACTTGAGAGTGAGTAAATGTTGACAATTTTCATTTTTTTGGGTGAACTATCAGATTATTAACTGTTGTAAAAGTATAATGTTAACTAATATTAAGAAATTACATCTGATTGTAAAGTGTTACCTTGGTGTCTTGCAATTGCAACTTTTCATATCACAGTGATTATAAATTTAACAATTTGAATTTATTTCTTATTTTAAACTTTTTTTTATTATTTTTATTTAAGGTGGAACATACTCATCTGAATATGTATGTGCATTGAGTGGTTAATAAGTGAGCTGTGGGAATGTGACACTATTTCACTAATGCATCGGAGTATGTGTGTGTGTCTCAGAGAAAGAACTTGTGTGGATGCATGACTCACGGTGAGTGACCAATCACTGCTGACGTGCAACCCAGAAGCTAAACTCTATTGTTATGAAGAACTTTTTGTCATGAGAATACTGTCAGGAAGCCTATTGGCCCAACCTTGATATGCAAATGTCTGTGTTTCTTTCTTAGCTTGACTAATTTGCATCAATTAGCTTCTACAATTTGCAAGCAGTGCTTCAGCCAATCAAGTTTTCCTGCATGCGTGCCCTCCCTATTTATCATATAGAGACAACCACAAATATGAGATATGGTTAAAATGCATGCAAATATGAGAGGAAATGCTATCAATCAGTGTCATGTGTAGTTTTGGGAACATTCCCTCAGCAGGTTCACCATAAGAGCTATAGCAGTCATGTGATTTCAGAGATTAAGACTGTTAAACCTCTAGATGGAACTGGTGTAGGAAAGTGAATCAGAGCCACTCCCAGCTGTCATGCTACAGAGTCAGGCCAGACACACACACACACACACACACACACACACACAAGCCAAAATTCAGGTTGAAATGTTCATGCATGCTTGAAAACACACCCACTAACAGTGAAATCAGTTTAATTGGAACTTGGGTGGTGGTCAGTGAAGCACTGCTAAGGGTGTTAACCTTCAAATTAACAAGTATTTACTTACAGCAGTCTTTCCAACAAACATAATTTTTTTAGCCAAAAAAGAAAAACCAAAATCCTTTTTTCCAAATTCTTCAAGAATGTTGCAATCATAGAGCAGCACATTAATATGCGTTCCTGTGTGACATGACTAGTTTACGACTAGGAGTACAGTCATGCCTGTTCATCTTACAAAGCCAGACTTTTGACTATCAGCATAAATTTGTTCTGGCTTGCAACATATTCTGGACTATAATTGGCCACCAACACAGGAAAGGTCTGTCTTGCTGACATGAAACGTGACCAGTGTTAGTTTAGTTTTAATCTGCCAAGGCCGAAAATGCTCAAACACTTCCACAGCAACATCTGTATATGATAGGTAAAGTACACAATCAAAGTACAATGAGTGTGTACTTTGTAATCAGCATTACTGTCCACCCTAATGTAAGTTGATTGATTGATTGATTTGGAAATATTCTTTTTTGTGCTCACTTGGTTGCATTTATGTAATCAAAATTACAGTAAAATAGTAACATTTTGAAATATTACTACAATTTAAAATAACTATTTTCTATTTAAATATGTTAAAATGTAATTTATTCTTTGATAGCAAAAAAAATAAAAAATCTTCTGTAGCCATTACACTTGTTTTCAGTGTCACATGATAATTTAGAAATAATATGGTTTCTTATTATTATTTTAAAACATTTCTTATTATCAATACACTGCAAAAAAACTTAAAACAAGTAAAATTTTCTGCCAGTGGGGCAAGTAAAATACTCTTGTTTTAAGAATATTTTACTTACCCCACTGGCAGATAATTTTACTTGTTTTAAGCAAAATGCTCTTAATTGAGTTTTTTTTATTCTCACCTTTGCTTAATTTAATGCATCCGTACTAAATAAACGTAATCCCCTAAAAAATAATAATATTGACCTGAAAATCATATTGAACTTGTGTGGTAGTGTAACTGAAAAAGAGGAAATTCTGCACATACACTTACCAAAAAATAAAGAAATAATTAAAAATAGTAATAATAATTCAATCCATTTTTCTTCTTTATCTTTCTTCTTTATTAGTTTTTGCACTAAATTAAAGGAAAATCTACTTTGTGTCAAAGTAAATGGGTAAATCTAACTTTTCAGTTTATAAATCTGATGTAAAATCACTTGGATCAATAACCTATTTATAATTACTTTAGCAATATGTTAAAATATTAAACAGTCACATTTCAAACAGCACAATGATGTGTAAAGCTGAATAGAATAGAAGTTATCTGTGTGACAGCATGTCATAAAAATAAGACAGACCTTGTGTGTTAAGGTGGAACATAAAAATGAGTGCAAAAAAATCCATCACAAAACAACTTAATGACTTCAACAATAACAACAGTGTAAATAAAAAAACTGTATCAAAACAGTAAAACCAACCTTGTTCATGATTTATGTTTACTAATTTATTGTGAATTAGTTTCAGAAAATTACACTGGTCCACTATTAATCCTTTGACAGGCAACAATTAAGTGCATGACTCGTGAGATCATGAAAATTCACTCCCCACCCAAATCTCCACCTGTGTTCCCAAAAACTACAGTGTATTACACATGAACTGGACAGCATGCACACGCACAGACGCAGACACCCACACACAGATACAATCTCACTGCTGATAACAGAGACCTGTTCATTGTTCATCATATTGTGCGCTGACACACATCATAGTAAAACCTCACCTCGGAAAGAAACTCGGGATGTTTGGCTGCAGTTTGACAGCAAACATTCTGCATAACATTCTTTTTTGTTCTTCGCGAGACTAAATATTTGGTTAGAGCGATCTTGAGCAGTTTGCCTTCTGTTTGACCTGTGCATGTGCAGCCCTTTAAAGTTCCTTCTCCCTTCTGTTTATTTGTTTGTACTTGACTTGTTCCTGGTAACCTCAGCGTTATCATCCACATCAACTCAGCATTCACAGGAACGTAACCGAACTATTTTGTATAGTTAGTTAAAGGGGTCATATGATGTTGCTAAAAAGAACATTATTTTGTGTATTTGGTGTAATGCAATGTGTTTATGCGGTTTAAGGTTAAAAAAAAACATTGACTCTTAACTTTTATAAAGAATATCTCTTTGGTTTTGAGACTTTAGTCTTTGCAACTTTACAGATCTTCTTTATGCACCAAGAGCTTGTAACACTCCAAAGAGAAAGGAAAAATGTAAATCGCATCATATGACCCCTTTAACTATTGGTTTTTCCGAATCCTCTTATATAATGCGTAGGTATTAACCTTTTGACACTGATGGAGGACCAACACACCCATTCCATAAGCCATTCCATAAATTATTTTTATGGTGCGAAACGGGTCATGTACACACTGCAAATATTTGGGAGTGAAAACCATGAGTGATTAAAAAAAAGAAAAGACCTAATGTTTTTTTAAATTTTAAAGAAAGTGTGGTTGTCATTAACCTGAATTTTTCATGTGTGAATTAAGTTTAAATGTGGTTGTGCTTTTGTTATTACCCAAACTCTGTGTGTAAACAATGGGTTTAAGAGGAGTGACAAATGTATTTGAATGAATGGTCTGTTGGCTGAATTATGGCTCCATCTCTGATCTAAGTCATAGTATTTGCAGAGTACTTACTGTAACAGCATTTGCATGCAGTGTGTAATGACAGTAAGGCGACAGACTGAGAGACAGACTCTCAGTTATTCAAAACAGAATAAGTTCATTTAGCATGTTCATAATCACTCTTTCAAGGACCTTTTAGTCTTGTTATTCATAAAATGTTATTCATGTGAGAAAGGCCAACTTATACCAAGTAAAAACACACTTTGCAATATATATTATCGTGTTATATTATCTGGGATAGTTCACCCAAAAATGTAAATTCTGTCATTAATTACTCACCCTCGTGTCGTCCCAGACCCATAAGACCTTCGTTCATCTTTGGAATACAACAGTCGTGGTACTGTAGTGAACACGCGTTGAATTCTGTGAATTGTGTGTTGTGATCCTCTCATGCACGTGCGTCGAAGACTGACATGGAAAAGAAGAAATTGTCGAATAAAGTCATAACATTGCTATATAACATTCATAACATTGCGGTTAAACCACTGATGTCACATGGACTATTTTAATGATGTCCTTACTACCTTTCTGGACCTTGAATGAGTCAGTTGCGTTGCTGTCTATGCAGGGCCAAAAAACTCTTGGATTTAATCAGTTTTAGTCTTGTTATTCATAAAATGTTATTCATGTGAGAAAGGCCAACTTATACCAAGTAAAAACACACTTTGCAATATATATTATCGTGTTATATTATCTGGGATAGTTCACCCAAAAATGTAAATTCTGTCATTAATTACTCACCCTCGTGTCGTCCCAGACCCATAAGACCTTCGTTCATCTTTGGAATACAACAGTCGTGGTACTGTAGTGAACACGCGTTGAATTCTGTGAATTGTGTGTTGTGATCCTCTCATGCACGTGCGTCGAAGACTGACATGGAAGAGAAGAAATTGTCGAATAAAGTCATAACATTGCTATATAACATTCATAACATTGCGGTTAAACCACTGATGTCACATGGACTATTTTAACGATGTCCTTACTACCTTTCTGGACCTTGAATGAGTCAGTTGCGTTGCTGTCTATGCAGGGCCAAAAAACTCTTGGATTTAATCAGAAACATCTTAATTTGTGTTATGAAGATGAATGAAGGTCTTACAGGTTTGGAACGACATAAGGGTGAGTAAATAATGACAGAAATTTCATTTTTCTATCCCTATAAAATACATATTTAATGACTAATTCAGGTTTTCATGGATTTCCTCTTTACTCTATTTTATTTAGACTATTTGGTAAGCTTTACTAAAAGACAGATGCCAACCCCGGCAATCAATCAATCAAAGTTTTTTGCATATATAGTACTGGTCAAACGTTTGGAATAATTGATATTTCTAATGAGAGATGTCTTTTATGCTCACTAAGGCTAAATTTTTTTAATCCAAAATGCAAAACATGTAAAACATTGTTACAATTAAATCGGCGCCGATAGCCTTGTGGGCAGCGGGCCGACATACAGCACTGTTGCAGTACGGGCGTCCCGAGTTTGAATCCCGACTTGAGGACCTTTCCAGATTCTGCTCCCCCTATCTCTCTCCCAATTTGCTTCCTGCCAAAATTAAATCTAATTAATACTTTTATTTAGCAGGGATGCATTTAAATTGAATTAAAGTGATAGAAATGTATAATGTTCCAAAAGATTTCTATTTCAAATAAATGCTGTTCTTTTGAACTTTCTGTTTATCAAAGAATCCTGTAATTATTATCGCATTTTCCACAAAAATATGAAGCAAGAAAAGATATTTTCAACACTGATAATAAGAACCATTTTTAATAATTAAGCACCAATAATAATTGAACACCAAATCAGCATATTAGAATGATATCTGAAGGTTAATGTGACAATGAAGATTAGAGTTACTATTTCAGATAAACTTTCACAATAAAAAGGGAAAATGCTGTCAGTTGCTTTATATTTCAGTCAGATGCTTTATTCCTTTCTAACTGGCCAAAACAAACGAAAAAGCTGAACAGACCCAGTCAAAAGCCTGGCTATGTGAGACCAGGTGTTGGTAGAATTTGCCTTGGTCAAGCGGATGTAAAGTGTGTTATCAGAAGGCTCAGGAGAGAATGGTCTTTGTGAGATGACATAAATGAGATAACATCTTCACCATGGCATGATATGCGTGAGAACAATACACGTCAGAATAAACGTCAGAGCCCCTGACCCCTCGCCACTTCCCAGCCCTGTTCACAAAAGATAAAGGGAAGAGAGCAGCAAAACAGAATGGCGAAGACTGATGGGGCACGTGTGGCGGCCCTGGAATCAACTCTGCCAAGGTAACAGAGAATCATCTCTCCCATGCAGAGCTGTGCTCTCTCTCTCTCCCCGGGCTAAATGGCACATTTGAGAGCTCGAATGTACAGAGATTACAGGTTAGAACAGCAGGTCTGTATAGCTAATACATGGCTTCTATATGCATATGCACACAGACAAACACATGCAAAACAACACTTTACTGAAAGAAAAAGCATAATCATAGTTTTTAGTGACAGTTTACACATACAGCATTGTGTTTCAGCATGCTACACTTTTTTTAATTGGCCATATAGATTTTTTTGATTAATCACAATCTTCATTTGAATGTTGCTGATGTTGATGCAATGAAAGGCTGTGTACGTGTAGTGGCAAAAAAAAAAAAAAAGAATAATAAAAATAAGTTAATTAATAAAAATTTTTAAAACTCTTTTCAAACTCTGTTGACTTGTCCTCTTAAACTTGACCTAGCAATTCACAAGCAAATGACTTATAAGCAGTGCCATTGTTGTTTACTACAACTAAAACTATTAAGAATAATTTCCGGTAACTGAAATGAAATAAAATATAAATATTAAATTTTAAAAAAAAAATTACATCGTATATAAATAATATTAAAATAACACTGCTTATAAGCAGGTTCTTTATAGTGTATCAAAAACATACAGCTTGGCCATTGTAGTCCGATTCACAAATAAATTACTTTTAAGAGTTTATTCTTTTTAGTGAATCAAAAACATACAGAGTGACTGATTCCAGACACAAATTAATCTTCAAAAAGATGATTTACTGGCTTGAATCAGTTTAAAACGCTGTCCTGTATAATTTACAGCATTAGCAGACAAATAATTTCTTTCATATTTAAGCAAAATGTATATTAGTGAAACATACCCAGATGAATCAGAACTGAATCAAAATTAATCAGGGGCTTATGAATGGTGACCTAAAGAAATGTAATCAGAATTTGAATATCTGTATGTATTCTTAGCCCTCACGTACACATGTGCTAGAAGGATGTCTTTGGTTGTGACTGTAACATATTCAGTTATTTTTGTCTTAGTTTCATTTTCATTGACTTAGTTTGTTTCTATTTAGTTTCCTCTTTCCTCTGTTCTAGTTCTCGCCAGTATTTAGTTGCCATGTTAGCTGATTTGATTGAGTTAGTCTTCAGCTGTGTTCACCTCATTATTGTTTCTATATAAGACCATGTTTGTTCCCCTTTAGTTTGTTTGGTCTCATCTATGTTATGGTTGTGTTTACTTCTGTACCTGTTTATGGACTTATCTTTGGTGTTTATTATGTTTTCTTGACCTTCGTCTTCATGTGATTACCACCATCAATTGTGACAGTGACGTTGCACCTCAATGTTTTTTTTTTAATTTTTTTTTTTCAGGAAATCACATGATTAGTGGTGCTTTTGAGGATGTCTAGTCAACTTAAGAAGTTGTTTAACTTCAAGCACACAACGTAATAGTCTGCGTTTACACTGGCACAACAAATCTGGCGCAACAAATATTTTGCTCACATCTGACACATATCAGAATTTGTTGCACGTGTGTAAACACAAAAATCCGTTTTCGCATCCGATCTGAGCCACTTCCGGATGTGTTTTTAAATTGGATACATATCCGATATCTACATCTAAACACACATATCCTCTCCTATTTCCATATTTTCCATTATATATCAGTTCAGTCAGATTTTGTCGCAAAACATCCTTGACAGCTGTTGTCTATGCTGGCAAATAATAACGGCCACTCGACGTTAATTATATTATGCACCATGTGCATATTAAAGCAATCACTGACAATCAATTTGGGCAAGAATTAATGTAAACACAGATATCGGATACCAATCATGTCACAAGTTAATGTAAACAGGCACGTCAAAAAAAAATCGAATATGGTCAAAAGATCGGATCTGTGCAATAAGACTCTGCTAAGTTCCCATTAAGTTATAAAAATGTTCTCTGAATGTTCAAAAAGTGAAGTGTTTAAAAAAATAATAATCTTGGTTATGCAAACATTCCATGCTTTTTTCCAAAAATGATGAGAATGTTAGCCTACTTTTGAATGTTCTCTGAACATTCAAAAACAAATAGTAACGTTTAAAAAATGTTATGCGAATCCGTTCCTTGAACAATGTATAATGTATTTGTGCTTACATTGAAAGCATATTCTATTTCTATCAGTGTTACTGGAAAAACGTTTGTTTAGAACTTTACTAGAACTTTCCCAAAATGTTAGACAAAGTTCTGAGAGAACATTCCCTGTTAATTTGGACCACCTTGTTAAATTAGTGGCTAAACAACATTGTTTCTTGAGCTGCTTGGTGTTTTTCTCATGCTTCAAATCGAGCAAAAGCTTGGGCTACAAAGTGGACAGAAAGCGAATGCTGTCCTGGCCTGTGTTTTCATAGCTGGTCTCAATATCAATGTATAATGTATTTGTGCTTACATTGAAAGCATATTCTATTTCTATCAGTGTTACTGGAAAAACGTTTGTTTAGAACTTTACTAGAACTTTCCCAAAATGTTAGACAAAGTTCTGAGAGAACATTCCCTGTTAATTTGGACCACCTTGTTAAATTAGTGGCTAAACAACATTGTTTTCTTGAGCTGCTTGGTGTTTTTCTCATGCTTCAAATCGAGCAAAAGCTTGGGCTACAAAGTGGACAGAAAGCGAATGCTGTCCTGGCCTGTGTTTTCATAGCTGGTCTCAATACGTCCTTGTGTTTCACATGTGCAAGCTTTGTTTTTAGACTGAGGCTCACCGTCTCAAGGCCACCCAGCTTACTACTTCATATGCATAATTATATGCAGCTTCAAAACAAAACCGGGAAAAAAGCAACCCGTTTGACCATGCAGATCCTCTCAGAGACACCGATGCACAAACATGCACACGCAAATGCATTTATTGATCTCTGAGAGCATGCGGAAACGGCCATAAGAGAAGCCATAGCTTGTCCGCTCCCTTGTGTGAATGTGTGTGACGGCCAGTCTGGTGAGTGCGTCACACAACTGTCTTTCTTTGAGAGCACAGCAGTCTGGTGGATCGTCTGAAGTCACTAAGCTGAGAGAGAGCGGACTCACGGTAGAATACATAATGCCACGCGGCGCATCCGCCTCTTGCACACTCACATGCACAGACACACTCGACGGCAGTGAGTCAGACTCTGAGACGTCAGATCACCGTCACTGGCCCTCAGCATCAGCACACATCCATTACAAGCCAACCTCTGATTACCACACGCGCACACACACACACACACTAATGGAATCCTTTGCATATTATTCTGTTTAATTAGATTTTATTTAAATGCTTACTAGTGACAAATTAAAAATATCGAAATGATTACAACTTTTAGAATATAACTTTTAGGTTTTTATATACTATTATAGTATTTATTTATTTTTTTGGATTCACTTTTATTGTATATTTTGAGTTTTCAGTTGAATTTTAGTTTCATTTTTAGCTATTTTGTAATGTGCTTTTTGTAATTTATTATTATTATTTAATATTTCTGTTTAGCGATCACCGTCACTGGCCCTCAGCATCAGCACACATCCATTACAAGCCAACCTCTGATTACCACACGCGCACACACACACACACACTAATGGAATCCTTTGCATATTATTCTGTTTAATTAGATTTTATTTAAATGCTTACTAGTGACAAATTAAAAATATCGAAATGATTACAACTTTTAGAATATAACTTTTAGGTTTTTATATACTATTATAGTATTTTTTTTTTTTTTGGATTCACTTTTATTGTATATTTTGAGTTTTCAGTTGAATTTTAGTTTCATTTTTAGCTATTTTGTAATGTGCTTTTTGTAATTTATTATTATTATTTAATATTTCTGTTTAGGTTTGATTTATATTTATTTCAGCTTTAGTTTTAGCAATTTCAGTATTTTAACAAAATTATTTCAGTTTGTTTGCAAGGCAACATTTCATTTTAATTTGTAAGGTTTTTTGTGTTTAGGCTTTTCAAGTTTAAGTTTTTCATACAATTTATTTTATTTTATTTCAAATATTTTTAAAAAATAGTTTTAATAGTTTTAGTTAACAACAACACTCCTGATTATAATATATTTCTCAATAAATACTGTTTGAAAATAAATATAAACTACCATTCAAAAGTTTAGGTTGGGTTTTTGAATATTTTTGAAAGAAGTCTCTTATCCTCAACAATTTATTGCATTTATTTGATCAAAATATAGTAAAACAGTAATATTGTGAAAGACTACAGTTTAAAATAACTGTTTTCTATTTCAATCTACTGTTATGTGCGGCTTGATATTTTGGTGGAAACAGTTCTGAAAATTTTTCAGGATTTTTATGACTATCATATGAAATAGAAATGTGTGTATGTAAAAAAACAAACAAAAAAAAACACTTCAATTATATCTACTCCCATTCTTCTACCCCATCACGTTATACAGGGACCAAATAACCATCTCATCATGGCATGAATGCACTGAATTACAATGGTGATTTTATTGTCCTCAAAACTCAAGAAAAATAAACTAACCACTTTTCATGGCTATCTAAATAATCATTTCCTTAAATAACCTAAATAATAGATTATTTGTAAATGCCAGTAGATGCTTAATGGCTGCATCAACGCTAAAATCAAAACATATTCTAGCGACCAGCTTTCCAAAATAAAAACATTTGATGAAAAAAAAAAAAAATGAAAATAAACGTTGCACTGGCAGCTAACTGAAAACTAAAATAAAAATAAATAAAAGCTAAATATAAATCCTTTTAAAAAATTGAATACAAAATTACAAAAATTACTAATGGATATATAAAAGCTTTTAGAATTAGCTATATAAATGAGTAAATTCTGCACAGAATTTGCATTTGAAATCTAATACTGTATAGTAGGTACAGCATTTAGTTTGAATCTTGCTTTGCGACCAGTAAAAAATTATGTTCTATATACAGTAGTATGAATGTTTGTAGTATGATTTTGATTAAGACGTACTACATCGCCATGTTGTCACTGTCCTGTGACCAGCATCAGTCACGTCGCTTCACTGTCATTCACAAATCCTCTCCCCTGGCTTCATGGGATAGTAAATCGTCCATAAGATGCACACAACAGAATTTCGCCGAAAGTAGTTGGTCATCCGGGTACTTTTCGCCTACTGTTTATGAAAACGATGAATTTGTACATACCTTATTAACTGTTTTTTTGCTTACTATATAGCATGGAAGTAGTAATCAGATGCAGGGATTGTTTTCAAACAGGTTTCTCTGAACACTCGCCTATTCTGCCATTGGTCAGTTAAGAAGACAGCCCCGCCCTAAACTCATATCATTGGTTGAGCTGTTGCTGTGTCAGGCTAGTCAAACACACAGAGCAATGTTTTGATATCACCACAGAGCCAGAGTGTTTACACAATTTCAATCTACAAACAGCTTACTTAAAGTTTTCTCTCTGCATATTTGACTGTATAAAGGAAGAAAATCATATTGCAGAAGTGCAGCAATGAAAAGCAGCTTTGTAGCAAAGTACAACAGACAAGTTAAAGGCAGCCTGGTTTGTTGTTGTTCTTCTGTTGTGGTTTGAACTCCATTTGGTCACACGTCACCATGACATTTGACAGCTATATATTTAAAGCCTCCATCATACATCCATGTCCCTCATCTATGATTACTATGTAATCAGCCCTCAAAGAAACCTTTACGAGTGGCAGTATACACACAAGCACACACAAATACAGCAGTAAAGGCCCATAAAACAGGCAGTGGAGCTGGCACCGGTGGCCGCAGGGCTGAGATTGAGTTTGTTTTAAAGGGCTGAAGAAGCCTGCTCTGCATTATGAGCACTTCAGAAGAGCTCTCCCTCAGGCATTGCGCACTTTGCCGCCTTGATCCCTGCTTTTTACACCCTTGCTGCCCGGACAGGAGGAGGAAATAAAAACAAACAATACTGTAAGCAAGAAGCAAGTTTCCCATCCAGATAGTTGTTGTGTAAAGGATTGGCCGTTCTCAGATAACAGACTGTGTCTTGTGTAGTCAATGTATAATAGAAGCACAGTTAAAGAGAAAAACATCTGTGACACGGCACTAAACTGAGGAATACATTTCTGTCTGGACTGTGCGGCGTACCCACTCACGTCTCGACGGTAGAAGAAAAAACAGTGAGCTTGCTTGACTGACATTTGTTTCATAAAGCTCCACAAAGAAAACCCTGTGTCCTCCCTCTTAGTACTAAACATATGTTGTACTACAAAGCATTTTTATTGCCAGCATGTACAGTGATAGGTTATTGCCATGGAAACCACTCAGAGACATTTGCGGGGCATTTCCATCATTTACAGACTCACATGATAAAAAGCATATATGACGTCAGAGGCCCGACTGTTTATCTTTTTCTTTTTTTTTTTCTTCTTCTTCCTCTATTAGTTTTTGCTCTGCTCATATAGACTGACAAGGTGACTGGCTGACAGACGGCACAATGAGTCAGTGAGCATTTGGTGTAACAACCACCAAACGGATGGGATTTGTCCCTAAGAGATGACGCTGACACATTGATTTTTACCCAGAGTGAGTGCACAACTATTTTTGGCATCAAATACATAAAAGTACAGACTTCGAAATAAATGCCACATCTGGGGACTCACAGTTCCGCTTAATTAACAAGTCTAACAAACAAATATGATGTCAGAATTAATACTTTAAAATAATTTCTAGGAATCATCTGCCTGGTATGAACATTTTATAGATTGTCTAGACAGACAGACATAGATTGTCTAGATAGATACAGTAGACAGACAGACAGACAGATATGGATTGTCTAGATAGATACAGTAGACAGACAGACGATAGATAGATACAGTAGACTGACAGACAGTCAGACAGACAGATAGACAGCTAGACAGACAGAGATTGTCTAGATAGATACAGTAGACAGACAGACGATAGATAGATACAGTAGACTGACAGACAGTCAGACAGACAGATAGACAGCTAGACAGACAGAGATTGTCTAGATAGACACAGTAGACATACAGATAGATATAGATTGTCTAGATAGATACTGTAGACACACAGACAGCCAGACAGAAAGAAAAACAGACATATATAGATTATCTAGATAGATACAGCAGACTGACCGATCAAATCTATCTATCTATATTTTTGACTTTACTTTTAAAACAGCTCATAATATTTCTGAGTAGAAATATCTAAATAAATCTAGTTAGATTTTTGACTTCTCAAACACCTCATTTTGACTTTACTTTTGCAGCTGCACCTATAATATTTCCAATTAGAGATAGTCTAGATGCATTCCTGACTGAACCCGAGTTTGTGTCACACGTAACTTGAATGTACGAATATGACCTGAATCCTGCCACCTTTAATAGCCCTCCTGATGTTAGTGAGCGTCACCTGAAATGCTCATCTGTTCTCCCACAGTATACAGTCTCCCACGCTGCTCTCTGTCTCGTCTCTATAGCAACTGCCAAAGCTCTGACCCCTCCTTTTTTGAGTAACTATCAGTGTGTCTAACCAAACCCTTCTCTGAAAACTCCACTCCATCCAAAGCTCTGCCATCACAAAACCACAATGGCTGTTTTTACCCAGGCTGGCCTAGACACATCCAAAATAAGGACCAGTAAATGCCTTGACTGGAATCAGAGCAGGCATGCCGCCATCCTCTTGATGAGCGGTGATACGTTGTGGCTCCAGCATAAACCAAAACAGTCATTCAAGCTCACTTGTGAAAAACAATTACTCTTTGGCAGAACTTAAAGGGATAGTGTCATCATTTATTCACCTTCATGTCGTTCCAAAACTTTGCCACTTTCTGTCTGCTGTGGAACACAAAAGGAGATATTTAGAAAAATGTTCATGTGGCTCTTTTCCACAATGAAACTGAAGGGGAACCAGTGATTGTCAGGCTCCTAAAATGATTTTTATGCTCATCAAGGCTCCATTTATCTGACCAAATCTACAATAAAAACATTAATATTGTGATATATTAATTATTATAATAACTGTTTCTATTTTAATGTATTTTAAAATGTAATTGGTAACACTTCAGTATAGGGACCAATTCTCACTAACATATTGGCTGTTTATTAGTACTTTAATTCTGCATGACCATATTCTACATCCCTAATCCTATAGCTAACCTTATACTACCTTACTAACTATTAATAAGCAGCAAATTAGGAGTTTATTGATGCAAAAAGTCGTAGTTAATAGTTTGTTAATGGTGAAAACTGGACCTTAAAATAAAGTGTGACCATGTAATTTATTCCTGTAATGGCAAAGCTGAATTTTCAGCAGCCAGTACTCTTCAGTGTTAATTGATCTTCAGGAATCATTCTAATATTCAGATTTTGTGTTTAAGAAACATTAATGTCAATGTAGAAAACAGCTGTGCTGCTTAATAGTTTTGTGGAAACCGTGACACTTCAGGATTCTTTGATGAACAGAAAGCATTTTTTTTATTACATCATAAATTCTTTACTGTCACTTTTCAGCAATTTAATGCATCTTTGCTAAATAAAAGTATTTTATTAACACATATAATAAAAGTATAAAAAGTATTTATAAAAAATACAAAAAGTAAAACATCTATTAATTTCTTTCAAAAATAGTGTAACTACTTAGTAATAGTGCACACTGGCTGCTAAATGTAACTTGTTTTACCATATGCAGTGTACGGTGTTGGCAGGAAGTGCCAGGAAAAAAGAGAGTGCTCCACTTTTGACCAAAAACCCCTTGAAACTCCAACATAAAAACTTCTATAAATTCGAACATAACAGTTAAACAAAAATAAGTTTCCCTTTTCTCATCTTGCTCAAAAACAGCATTATTTCAACATGTACTCTCCCTAGTCACAGTCAAAGCACGCTGGGATCTAGAAATCCCCTGCCCAGTTTCACCAATATTACATTAATGCCAACGAACATTATTCATGTAGTCCCAATGCAAAATGCATTATATAAACTTCAATTTAAGTGGATTTCATGCAATAAAATGTTAATACATAAATGTCTGAAAATAGTGTTGTATTAGCATTCAAATTAAGCAAGCAGCAAAAACATGCTTTTTGTAGAACAAATATTTAGACAATATGGAACGAGCGAAACAATCAAGACTTGTTTCTGGGTCTCACACTTTTCTAAAGGTACAGACCACTGTGACTTTCAGAGGCTACAGTTCCCTTTCAGTCGGTCACTCTCGACGTCACGTCGGAGGACCGACGGATTGGGATCTCGCTTACAGGGACCAATCTACTTCGAGTGTAAACTAAACGAGCCAATGCACATTGGCATGCGATTATTGCATCCAGCTGCTGCTGATCACAGCGTGAGTATAAGTAGGCAGCAGGTGCAGCGCATATTCAGCTTTTCGCTTCGGAGCCGAGCGATCACATCGTTCTGCTCCTGACTACTCTACTGAGAGAAAAGACTGAACGAGTTCAGCGCGCTCTTGGAGAGCTCTTCGTGTTGGTGGACGGCGCTTCAGCGGTGGTGGTTTCCCGTGTCGAGTGGGTTGCACACATCAGGCTGCACTACCCCCTGTTTGTGTTGCAGATGATCATCTCCCCTGTACGCCTCAGCACGCTAAAAGAGTTTTTTCCCCTAAAAGAGCAATTTCGGGTGTGTCTTTTTAAAGACGACGTTGCTTGGCAAACTTGACGTTACGTCTTTATAAAGACGATGTGGGTCTTGCTATAGACAACGTATCACCCGGGCGTTCTGGATGCGGTCGTTACCTGGCGCTGGGTGATGGTCACGATCGCTGCCTCTCGTGCCTGGGCATGAAGCACACTGAGGTGGCTTTCGTGGATGGCTCATGCTCCCATTGCAGGGGTATGACCATCTCGGAGTTGCGGACCGGACTCCGTTACCTGCAAGGGGGCGGAGTGCCCGTGCCACTGCCCAGATCTAGGGTTCCCTCTGGTGGCAGCCGGGGGTGTCCTTTTTCTGGCGGTGGGCGGACTGGTCTTACGGTAACGGTGAGGAATTCCCCTAAGAGAGAAAGGGGATGTCCAAGCCCGCCGGCTCAGGAAGAGCAGGCTGGACCCTTCCGGGGGGTACCACCTGTTTCTTCCGATGCTCCCCCCGACGATCGGGTGTCGACTGCAGCATCGAAGGGTGAGCCAGAGCTTTCTGGAGAGGAAGATTCGGCTGCGCTGCTCTCCTCCGGGACCGTAGCAATGCCTGAATCGGATCCAGAAATAATGGCGCCTCCAACTGGCAGGGAGAACCGTGCCTCCCCTCCCGGGTCTGTAGGTACTCGACTGGCCAGCGATGCCTATACGACCGGTGGAGAAGCTGCCTCCGCCTTACACGCTACGGCGTGATTGCAAGTGCACCAGGCCAAGGCACTGAGGGACTTGCACGAGGGTGGTCACGACCCGGAAGTTCAGAGAGAACTCCGCACCGCGGCAAACCTCGCGCCACGAGTGACGAAGGTTACGGTGCGGTCTCTGGGTCGTGCGATGTCCACTATGGTGGTCCGGGAGCGCCAATTCTGGCTGTGACTGGCTGACATGTGCGAGACGGACAAGACACGATTCTTGAACGCCCCCGTGTCCCAGGCCGGCCTGTCGGCGACACGGTGGAGAACTTGCCCAGCGGTTCTCCGCTGACCAAAGCAGACTGAGGCCATCAGGTACATCCTGCCGGCGTGCAGCTGCTGCCGTCGCCGAGGGCGGCCCCCCTGCCACCGCGAAAACAAGAGGCGGCCTCCAGCAAAGCTGTGCCGTAGAGCCGGTCGCAGGGCAGCCGCCCCGCCCATCCAGGCCCCCGCCAAACCTGGTGGCAAGCGAGAGAGCAAGAGGCCCGGAGACGGCCCTCTTTCTCATTTTAGGCTCCTCTGTGCTCAAATCAGCCCCTGAGGACCAATCAGCCCTGAGGGTTTATACACGGGCCCTTTACAACTGCCTCCCTTTCCTGCCACCTAAATTTCTCTGGTTTCAATTCCTCAGGGCTTCATCAAATACTCGCATTTCCCATTAATGCTGGCTGGAAAACAGATATGTGCAACGGACCATGGGAATTATGCAAGATCTCATTTATCAGCCGGGAGCTTTTTACAGATTTGAGGACATGAACTATGATTTGAGGACAGATCCGTGCTGTTCGGTTGGAGAAGCACATTTTTGATGCCTTTTGACCTGTTGAGTTTCAAAAGCAGAAGAATCCTTAAAAAAAAAAAAACATTCACACTGTTGCATGATCTTCCTTGAGGTCATTTGTAGCTTTCTTCAGTTGTCTTGAAATGATTAACGTGTCTGACCTACATATCTTAAAGTGTATTTCAGTCAATTTGACAACTGTGTTGAATATTCAAAAATATATACACACACACACACATATATATATATATATATATATATATATATATATATAACAATACAAGTATTGTTTATATAATAATAATAAATAATTATTATTGTTGTTGTTTTTGCTGTCATATTATTATCATGTTGTTGTTGTTACAGTGAATTATTTCAATACAAATATTTCTTTGTTTAATATTTTTATTTAGCAATACTACTACTAATACTATTACTAATTATTATTATAACTAAATAGAAAAGAGAAAATTAGAAATGTTACTATTGTAGTACTGTTCTGTAAAATTACAATACTATATTAGTTTATTATATCTCAATTTCTTATTATCTGTCTTAATTTCATCATTTTCAAACATTAAACCATTGAACGTTTTGCCAGAAAACCAAAAGAAGGGGTTTTATGCCATTACATTTAAAGTAAAAGATCATAAAAAATAGTCGATTTTCTGTGCAATATTTAATAATATTTATGTTAATATTAAAATGAAATATTTAATAATAGGACTTGCATTTTTTATGTGTTAAAATGTGGCACTCATTCTCTCTACAGTGGATAAAAAAGCATGTTTTGTTTTGTAATGTGTCCATTAACTATTATGGGCAGAAGTGAGTCATGCCACAGCAAGGGTCGTGGTTACAGGTGATGGACTCTTTCCAGTTACCAGATCCTCCTTTGATAACAACACCAAAAGAACATAGACATTCACTTCCACACAAAGAAACAGAAATAGTCACTGAAAAAGAGAAAAAGAAATGTCAATGTGTCAATAACAAAGACCAGGCTTCTCTTTTCATTGCACAGCTTGTTTTTCTTATTGCATAATATGTGCAATGATAAAGAGTCAATCTAGACAAAAGACTAGCCGTAGCAAAGAAGAATCAAGGCCACAGAAACAAATACAAATGTGCAGGACCAAGGCAGTCTCTTTCTGCAGAGAGAGAAATGCTTGATTATGGTATCAGGATTGGTTTATTTCTACTACAGTACAATGTGTGCTATCCCAGAGTGCTCTGTTCCAGCATAGTGCCATGTTACATAATGAATACTTTGACCTCTTGAGAAATGAAGGGAGGTGAACACTTTTGCTAGATTTGGCCAGCATGTTATGATATGAACTGCTCTGTCCTGGTTCATTGCCATTTACCTGTGACCTGAGAGAAAAGCATATTTACAGTGGCATATGTCTGTTGTGTATGGTCAGATGAGACCGTTTTGCCTGTTTTGCGGAAAACTCTCATTCATATGAATGCATACATTGTTTTTCCCCCTTGGATTAGCTACTGTACAGAGAGAGTCGAAATGAAAGCAAATCGTAGCCTGAAGTGTTGCACTAAGCCAACAGATCAATTACTAACAAACTCTACCTCAGATGAACTTCCTTTTATATTCAGTGGGAGAGGGAAAAAAAATCAGGTTATGCTTTATTTCGATAGTCCACTTTAGACATTCTACTAACTATAAGTAGGTTTGCTGCTATGTATCAGCTTACTCTCGTAATCTGCAACTGCATGTTAACTAACTCTCAACAGAGTATTAGTAAACTAATAGGTTAGGGTTAGTAGAAGTTGACATGTTCTTGAAAGTTATAGTCTGTTGGGTGACCATAAATAAAGTGTTAGCTGATATTAAGCAGATAATCACTGGTAGTTGGCATGTGGTTGCAAAGTTCTGTATTGTTAGCAGATTGTCTAAAGTGGACAACTGAACTAAAGTGTTACCCAAAAGAAATCACACAACAGCACTACAAAAGAAAATCATCAAGCCTGCTGAATTAAAACAGCATTTCTTGTCTCTTTGTCAGATCCATTGTTTCAGTATGTGCTTATTTTAGTGAAAAATTAAATTTTCTAAGTGAAAAATGGGCGTTACATACCAGAATGGAGCCAGACCAAATGCTACCCACAAACCCTTGTGGCCTAAGTGACATTAGTGGGAAAAAAAAGTTTTATAGAAAGAGGAAGTTAATACATATTGATCAGGAAAACAAACATTAAAGGGATAGTTCACACAAAAATAAAAATGTTGTCATTAATTACTGACCCTCATGTAATTCCAAACCTGTAAGATCTTCATTCATCTTTAAAACACAAATTAAGATATTTTTGATGAAATCCGAGATCTTTCTGACCCTCTATAGACAGCAAGGCAACGTGCACATTCAAGGCCCAGAAAGGTATAAGGACATTGTTAACATAGTCCATGTGACAACAGTGGTTCAACCATAATTTTATGAAGCTACGAGATATACATACACACACACACACACACCTAGATGCTAAGGGGCTCATAACTCACCAGCTGTGCACGACATCTCAAGACACTGTAAGATAGAAGCAAAGGGGTGACATGACTGGGATCAAGCCTGCACTGGCTGCCTGGCCCCTAGAGACACACAAACTCTGTTAGACACACATAAATGTGTCAATACACTACGCAGCTGAAATATGCATGAGGTGAAATATAACAGAGCTATCACCTTACAACCGCTTCTCACGCCAATGACAATGTAGGTTCAGTGACTGGATCTCATTTCACTGAGGAAGGGAAGGAAGTGTGCTGAACATTAGAGGTGTTATTGCTATACTCTGCTCTGATATCACGTACAAATAATGTTACAGACTTTCTTTAGTTCAAAATACAGACAAAAAGCTGATATTATTAAAAGTAGTGCGCATTCGTTTTATGGTTTTAAGACAAAATGTACTGATAAGGATTATATGACACACACTTCCTCTTTTGTAATCTGTGAATCTCAGCATGTACACACTTAGTTTTATGTGGGTCTTAAGCTATACATATATGAAGTTTTCTCAACCAGTGACATAAACTTTAAGCAACAGCTGTCAAGTATCATGGAAAACTGATCAAATATTTACCTAACATTTTTCCTTCTGTCCTTCCTTCCAATCACATCCTATCTAAAGTAATTGATTAACTGATTAAATGGACCCTGAACAGCATCTACAGACTAACACTTACTCACTCACTCACTCACTCACTCACACACTCACACACTCACACACTCACACTCTCTCACACACACACTCACACTCACACACACACACACACACACTCACACTCACACACACTCACACACGTCTGGTTTGCTATCCTTGTGGGGACTCTCCATAGGCATAATGTTTTTCTACTGTACAGACCGTATATTCTATTGCCCTACACCAACCCTACACCTAAACCTACCCCTTACAGGAAACTTTGTGCTTTTTTAAATTTTCAAAAAAACTTCATTCTGTGTGATTTATTAGCTTGTTTACCCGTGGGGACCTCAATTTAGGTCCCCACCGTGACACGAGTCCCCATGAGTATGTGTGTATTCAGGTTTAAGTCCCCACCAGAATAGGAGAACAGGTACACACACACACACCTGTGAATGAACAAATAAACATGAACATACACAAAGCTGCCCTTTAATATCCTGTTAAATTTACATACCGCTGCATTTACTGCTGTTTTTGCCAGATATTGGTGACAAAAATTTTCAGGCATTATGGTGCCTGTATTTTTTATATTTTATTGTAGTTTTTAATTGTTTATAATTAAAATGTTGTAAGTTTCATCAACTGGTGTTATTTAAATGTACCAAGATACCTTAACTATGCAGATCTGCTCTGTACGTTAAATTATACTGAATAACCTACAATTATACAGCTTGTAAAACAGAAGGCCCTATGATGAATTAAAGTTCACCAAAACTGGCACTCCATGAACAATGACTCATATAAACATGTGCAGACAAAGCACAGTGTTACCATACAAATACAAAACACCATCAGGGTAACTAAACATTACATGTAATACAGTAACCAATAACTAAAATAATTAGAAACGCAACGTTCTTCAAATAAAGAGTTACTTAATTATAATTTATGAATTTAAATGTTATTTAATAATCATTTTAATAATTAAAAAAAATACTACAGTTTAAAAGTTTGTTGTCAGAATTTGCAATGTTTTTGGAAAAAAAAAAGCTTAATATTTTGTGGAAACTAGGATTCTTTAATGAAAGTTCTAAATACCAACATTTGAATTACATGTTTCTTTACCGTCACTTGTGATTTAAAACAACTGAATGGCAGTATATAAATTATTTCATACTTCTACTTCCAAAAAACAAAACAAAAAAAAAAGTAATTTAATGTCTGTCATGTTAAATCACTAACATGCTTTATAGCGTTTTAGCATTCTTTTCTTCTGTTTAGATTACAGAGTTACTGTTCACTTCGCTTCTGATAATAGTCCAATTGTGTGTGTGTTTTGTGCATCTCATTAAGTTGCACAAACCAACAGTTACATGCTATCTGGCTATGTTGAAGAGGCCTTGGATTTACTTCAGCTCACCAGCTGACTCTGATATTAACACTCCAATTTACTGGAATACCATGCACTTTACTGGAAACCTCCAGCTGCACAAACATGCATGTTTGAACTGAAAAACGTCAAACTGTGTCAATCTAGCAGGTTAGAAACGTTCACACCAGGCTTGATCTTGTTTAATCTCATGAGAACATACTTAATAAATGTGCACAGTGAAATCGACTCAGTTTCAGGCCTTTTATTTGTCAGTCTATTGATTTGTGTGGTCATGTGACCAAGTGCTGAGAATAATAAGGCTAGATAAGGTTGTGTGGGGAAGGTGGTATATCCCATGGACCCCAGGGATCTCTTCTGTTCAGCTCCTGAAATGTCTCTGTCAGCCTGAACAAGTTCACGATCTTAGACAGCCTTTTGCAGCAAATGCTGTGTAGGCAGAGGGAAATAAAATCAATGGGGTTACATATTATTATCATTACCATGTGTGGATGGGAAATGAGTTCTGTAAGTAATATCTCACAAAACATGAAATGAAAGGCTGTTTTGAAACCAATGCCTTGGATGATAAATATTGAGAGAAGTATTGATGTGCTAAGAGATGTGACAGAAGGGATGCATCAAGCAGTCAATCAGAGAGAAAGAGGGATGTTTGCCATTTGTAATGGGCTGAGTTATCAGGTATTTCTCACTGGAATTCATAGTATGGCCATAACATTTTTTTTTATCTTTATTAGATTCACTTAGATTAAAGGAACTTTTAAGGTTAATTCTGAATTTAATATGTTTTTACACATAATTCTTTGGAGTTCCAAGGAACAAAACATAAAAACATTCTAACTCAAAGAAATGGTTTCACCAGAAAAACAGGCAGTTTTTTTCCATCATGTCATGTTCATTAATTTCTACCATCCCGAAGACCACTGAAAGAACACAGTTTTATTTTGACATTAGTCCGCCAGAGCATTTGGTCTTCTAAAGAGGCCTTTGCTAGTACTAATGTTCAAATCTGGGCAAAGTGAAGACGGCGCACACACAATGGACATGAGCCCTTTGCCTCTCAACAGGCAGCAGGCAGTCAGTGTTCAAAACAGCAGCTCTACCATTCCCCTCTCTCTCTCTCTCTCTCTCTCACTTTTTCTTCTCTTAAACAAAACCAACCACAGTACCGCAGCACAAACATAACAGACTTACTCTTCTTATACTTTAAAAGAAGAGAGAGAGAACAAAAATAGCTTCCACAAACTGCCAACATCTCCGAAACTGTCTAATGCTAATTGAAGTACAGAATAAAAACTGCCAGAAATCAGGGAGAAACCAAACACAAGATAGATAGATCTGATAGCCAGCTATCCCTTTAAAAATATATATAATTTTTAAAACAGATATATCAATATATTTTAATTAATAGATATTTCTAGGAAGTATCTGTTTGGTATGAACATATTTTATACTGAGGGCATCTTTACAGAGGGAGAAAGATTGTCTAAATGCATGACTTAACATAGATAGATAGATAGATATTTCAGTGAACTGAGATGTTTCAGTGGACTGAGATCTTGTGATTGAACGGTGCTTCATTGCTGTGTATGTGTTTTATTGACAGGGAGCCTGATATACCAGCCTGGACTCCTCTCCTGTATCAGCTGCAACTCCTAGACTTCAGAGAAAAGCCGGACCCCCTTTCACTGCCCATCCCCGAACGGATCCGCATCGGCAACCAGAAACGAGAGCGAGGCAACTTCTACTTCCAAAGGGAAGAGTACAGCATGGCAGCCCAGGCTTACTGCATGGCTTTAGACATGCTTACGACACGCACATATGGTAATCCAACCCACAGTGCCCTTCAAACACCTGTGTCATAATGCAGGAACATGCCAGAACATGCACAAATCTTTCATGCGTATAAATGCATAAGGGCACAGATCTCAACAACAGGAAATGTTGTGATAATAGGCTATTTATAAATATTATCATTTCTAATATTTTTTCTAATATTATACATAACATATACTATTAATTAACTTCAAACATACCAATAAAAACATGTTTATAAAAAAATTATATAAATTATATTATAATGTAGCTAACTTCTGGAGACTAATATATATATATATATATATATATATTATATAATTTATTGGCTTCATGATATCTAATAAATCGTTCAATGGTGATGGAGAAAACCCCTATAATAGCTCTCAATTCTGAGCAGTTCTAGCAGTTAATCTATTTGATCAATAATCATGTCATCGGAATGCTCAGTCATGTCTGCAAGCTGTGACCACCCCGAGTAACGCTCTTATTAAACCCTACGCTAATCAAACGTAATAAATCTACATGTTATTTCCACCTCCTTAATCATAGTAATTGCTGGAAAGCCTGGTCCATCTTGAGAGGAACGTTTGACAGTAACGAGACAGTAAAGTGCAAAGCACCGCTTTGGATTATAGACACTGATAATGACCACACATGCAGAAGTGATCTCCACATCGCCACAGTCTCCACTGACCACTCAAGCATCACATATTAGATTCTCCTTCATTTTCTACGCAATATTTTTCTACATTCATACATTTCTATCTCATTAGCCACTAAGTAGTAATTTTTCTAAATTATTTAGAGAAACGATTTTGTAGTAAACAAACACGAAGTCCCTCTGCATACAGTGATATTCAATACAAATTGTTACTGTAGGCTATATTTGCAATTGGCAATCACTAACCCATACACAAAATATATATTAGCAAGCTCTACAAGTAAGGGAGCGTTCACATCGAATGCGTTTGCATCTCATTTCGTTGCTTTTCCATTGTAAACACTTGCTAGATGGACTTTTTAAACTACTCTCGCACATATGACGTGGCGTTCTAAAAACGTGGCGCTTAGAATAAAATGAATTAACTTAAAAAAAAAAACGCATTCGAGACCTTTTTTTTTTTGCATGTCATGCCTTGCATTTCACGTTTTAAATGCAAAAACGCATTCTGTGCCAACTCATTATGAATTGACTCCAATATCAGTGGCCGAGTGCTGCCCAGTTGCAAGTGTGATACTATAAGAGTTAAAAAAAAAAACATATTAGTTAATAATGAGTTATGCCTACCTACATTTAGGCACCATATTGCCAGGTAATTGGCAGAGTGTGTTATCCAAACTAAACCACTGTAGGCCTATATCCAATACATTTTTCTCTGAGAAACAAACAATATGTCATTCCCAGATCAGTTGTTGAACGGTTTACTGATTCATTTCATTCATGCATTTAGCAGACACTTTTATCCAAAGCGACTTACAGGCTATACATTTTTTACCAGTATGCGTGTTCCCTGGGAATCGAACCCACAACCTTTTGCACTGCTAACACAATGCGCTACCACTGAGCCACAGGAACATGATTGAGGATGATGGACTCAATGATTCACTGATAAAGACGGTCCCTGAATGAACCAGTAGCTATTATTAAACAAATCGGTTGAGTGAATGATTCGATAACCCACTCATAAAAACAGTCACTTGTTTAGTTCCTGAGTGAATCATATTTTTGAACAAATGGACTGAATCTTACTCCTAAAGACAGCCACTTTTCGCCACCTACTGGTTTCAATTCAACCGTTTTTTTCCCCAGTTTAATATACACTTTAAAAAAATATTTTCATTCATCCAATTAAAAAAAATGTAGGGTAATGATTCACATCTATATTTTTTGACTTGAGCCAATGAAAAATAAAAGTTTACCCTAAATTTTTTTAATTGGATGAAAGAAAAAAAATTTTCAGTGCAAGTTCGAATGACTTGTACAGCCAATTTGATTATACTTTTTAAAGGTCCCCTGAAATGCTTAGAAACAGGCAGCATCACTCTATGTGTTGACGTCATTTTAACTGAAACAGGAAGACAGGGCGGGACATATCAAGCAGCCCCGCCCCTTTTTAAAATAGCCAATAGCGTTCGTTTATATCACAGCTTGGGCTAGAGCCATTCAGAGTCATTGAGCTCCGTAAAGCCGCATTTGACAGGGTATGCCAGCCACAATCTCATCCATATTGCTATAAAATATAGCATTCTGTGTAGATTTCAACTAGCTCCGACACATTTTGTGGTCTGCCCGACTCGCGCATGTGCATCCGCTCCGTGCTAGCGTGTCTCTGGACCGGAGCAGAGTGTGTGTGCGGTGCGGTGGTTAGCGTGACATAGCACAACCAGACTTCTTTTTTTCCCTCAATGGAAAGCATATTTACACTGTTTGAATCGTTCCCTGTCCCCTATATAGTGCACTACGTGCCATTCACTGTACAGTGTGACCGATTTCAGCCGTGGCTTCAGCGTCTATTTTATAGTGTAGGGGGCGGGCGCTTCGGATTCTAGAGAGCATTTGATTGGACAGAAAGTTTGATGAGAAGCTGAAGTACGATGTGACGTTGAGCCGTTTTGGCGGAAGTGACGAACTGCAAGCTTTAAATGCTTATGTCTTCTAAATGCGAATTTTGTCACTGTTTTGGAGCACACTGCCTTATAGATAACCTTAAGACTAACATATTGATACGAACACCCAAAAAACACTTTAATTTTGATTTCATGGGGACTTTAAGCCAGCAACCGAACTTAAGTTTTTAAGTTGAAGTTGGTGTTTATTTTCTACAGTGAAATCCCTACCACAAATGCACAGACTGACAGTCTCTCTGGAACAAACAGTGAAGTCACAGTGCAGTTGAACTGTTATATCAGCACTGTTGGAACACTGCTCGACCAATCAGATTTGAGGCCACTAACTAATGTACAATGCCATTTACACTGGATTGATCCATAAGCAAACACATTTTTAATTGTGTTTAATGTTTTCTTTAGTGTTATACTTTGCCACAGCGTGGTTATAAGGGGCTGTACAATTGTGTCCTCCTGTAGACAGTCAAAGCTGTGCGGCAGAGGAGGACGATGAGGAGGTGAACGACTACAGGGTAAAGTGTCTGAATAACCTGGCAGCAGCACAGCTGAAGCTTGGACAGTTTGACGAGGCGCTGCACACCAGTCAAGATGTGCTGTTCCTGGATCCCCAGAATGTCAAAGCATTATTCAGGAAAGGGAAGGTATGGATGAATATTATTCAACAAACTAGGCACTGAGATTCACTGAGATCATTTACAGTTCATACATGATGGGTTTATATTTCCATCTGGATTGTACTTTTTCCAAAAACAAAGAGTCATATTTATTGTAATCTGGTAATGTAAAATGTGTCTGCAGCTTTTATCGGACAGGGGTGAGTATGAGGAGGCCATGGAGACCCTGAAAAAGGCTTTGAAACTGGAGCCGTCCACTAAGGTGAGAGGTGTAACTGTATCTCCTGAACACATCTAAATTTCACGTGAGCTGGCAACAGAAAATCCCATTAGCAGCTATTTACAGATCAACTGACCTTTGGGAAAAACCTGGCCTAACAGGAACAGTGTTATTTATTTCAAATTCAATGCCAACTCATACTCACTGTGGGTCAAGAATGAAGTTTGCATTAAAGCCAAAATGTGCTTTATTAGTATATTAAGCTTCCAATGTTCATTAGTAAACACATTCCAAAATGATTTTAAATGAGTACCAAAACAGAGAATGCATTGTGGATCTATTTAAGACATTTTTTTTAAATGTCTTTCTAATGTGTTTGCATTTCATATACATATCAGTTTCCCGACTGGTCTGTTTGAACATTCAACACAAACTTAAGACAAGGAAGTGAAAACCTGTCCTGAGAAATTCCACACAACATACGAGTGCATGCTAACAATATCTGAGTGAACATGCAAATATTTGTTTCTACAGCTAGACTCTAATAATATCTGAGAATGAGTTTTGTGCTGCGTTACAATCCACAGAACCAAAACCTGTTCTGTCACGCCTTTGAGAATCTGTCAAATCCTCAGAGCAGCCACCAAGATTAGAGCTGTCTGGAGCCAGTACATGGACACAAAGTTACACATACACACACACACACACACACACACACACACGCACGCGCACCTTCCAGTAATAAAGTGAATCAGCACTATACACTGTGGAGGTTTATGACATTCAAGAAGCAATAAACAGAACAACTAGCTTCATTCATAATACTGAATAGTATAATGGCCCGTTCTGCTAAAAAAAAAAAAAAAAGCAAAATGTCATGTCTCTATCTGTTTTATTATAAAGTTGCACAACATGCAACTCCATGAAAGCATAATGCAATATGCACATATATATATATAGTACATATCACTTGTGTATATATATCTCCCAAATGTTATATTACAATAACAAAGATAAATTTCATCATCATAAATATATATATATATATATATATTCTCTCTCTTTATTTATTCCTTCTCTTTCTAGCTTGTACTTATTTGAACAATGTCTAAAATGTTGGTATTACAAGCACTTCCTGTGTCTGTTTGCCTCTTTAAGAAGAATCGCTTTATGTATCCCCAACTGTAAGTTGCTTTGGATAAAAGCGTCTGCTAAATGACTAAATGTAAATGTAAATGAATAAATAAAATATGTGTCAAATTTGGGATGATATAAGAAAGAATGAAGCGAAGACATTTCACAGATTGTGTCTGGGCCTGCTGATGAGTGATTTTGTGATTGACCTCAGGTCCCCTCACACTATGCTTTGACCCAGAGTGCTCATGGTGAAGAGTGAGCCTTGTCTAGACAAAACTAAAATATCTGCTGTTCCTATAATGACACCCCGTCTGGATGGCGGGGCAAAAAGCAAACATTCCCACAGGAGGGAACTCATTGCAAAATTCAAATTAGGATAATAGAGTCAGAGATGGCATGGGATGGAAAACGTGGTAATACATGTGTTGCTATATACTTCTGATTTTAGCAGTCTCTTAAGTGTATACTCTGTGCTAATGGCTTTTGATTAAAATACACGTGTAGGCCTATGTAAATCTTTACTCACTAAAAGTGGTATATTAAGGAAAACATTAAGATTTCACAATCAAAATCTGCATGGTGTTAAAGTAGCAAAGAATAGGCTATAAAAAGCTCAGTAAAGTGATTTCAGTCACATACCAGATTCTCGCACTGATAACAAAGAGGTCATAAAAATGTATAATCCAGTACTACACAATAAACGCAGCTTGCAGACGGTGAAATGGCACCATCTGTTGGTCAGTGTTAGAAAGTGCAGGACCACCTTATTTTTCCACAGAGCTGTAGGCTACAAAGATTTATAAAGTTGTTTTTATACTCTATATTAAGAGTTTGAATGCTAATATTTTTTCTTCATATTGTATTTTTATAGGCCATTCATGCTGAACTGTCCAAGTTGGTAAAAAGACAGGCGGGGGAAAGTGAGACCGAGAGTTGGCAAGCTAAACCAGCTGAAAACATAGCGCCCTTTCTGACACCTCCTCCCCCAAAAAAGCCGTTTGTAAGTGACTGACTACCACCTAGTGAAGAGAATAAAAGTGGTGGAAAGGGCCTTTAAAAATGTGCCAGAGCTGGCGTCGCAAGTGCCACCATTGTTTGATCTCGTTTCTTACTCTTTCAGGGAATTTCTTGGAAGTTTCTGCTTGGAGCTCTGGTGGTGGCTTTGGGCAGTTTAGTCACATCTGTGGTTCTGACCGCACGGAACTAGCTCTCTCGACCTACTTGCAAATTAACTAAGTCTCACAAACAAGCATTCCCCAGAGCTGCTAAGGGACGGAGGAAAAATGCATTGAACTGTTTAAAGAGCAGCTTTATGGGCGGTTCTACCGGTGGCACACCAACTTATGCAAAACAGAAAAAAGGTCAAGGCAAATGCATTTAAACTACTTGCAATAAAAACACTAGTGTTAATATGTTTGGTGTTTTGTTTTGCTTTCTGCTACATGACATATTAACTTTTTCATTTCTACACACGTTTTGTATTTTTCATCCCTGACTTTTCTACCATGATTTAATGGCAGCTGTTCCCCTAAATTCCAGTAATGAACAAGAAATCAATATTACATTTACAACCAAAATGTTGCAGAAAACAACATTCAAACTGTAGATGAACAATATGGCTATACAACAAATTAATCAACTGTTACTTATATTTGATCTATTTGATGACAAAAGGACTAACAGAATAAAAATAAAATCAGCATTACAACATTAATTTCTAAACCCATTCTACTTTCAAATTGTGAAATATAAATC